TTATGAAGGAAAGCTTCTGGGCATACTGCAAAGTCTAATATAGCCAAAAAGACAACAAGCTTAGAAGGAAAAAGGCCAGGCAGTGGCACATGATCACTTTCACACCTCATAAGCAACAAATTTGTTTAGCTGATAAACACTGAAATGAAGAACAAGGCCACAGATATAGTCAGATGTTATTTGATGATATATGCAAATTAAAGCAATAGAAATGAGTCCACTAATTTCACAAATAACTGGTTTGTTAGGAACCATCCAAAACGTGATCTTAAATTCATTAGTCTGTTTAACAACCCATTTTTTGTTCTTTCAAATTAACAAAATTATTAATTGCTTTGTTCCTTTTTTATTTGTGAACTGATTGCCACAGATAAAGAGGCAATATACAAACAACAGCTAAGACAACCTTGGCTTGATAATTTACTCCCATGGTCTTTGCAGTGGAAGACAGTTTCCATGGAAGTTCAAAGGGATTTAACCATCTCACCGTTTGTGACAAAGGAATACTTTTGGACACTGTTCAGGTGGAGCAACATTAAATGGTTTAATGCTTATATGGCTTGGGAAGGGGTGGCTTGTTTGTAACCAATTTATACTCTGAATTCTCTCACTGACAAGCCATACAAAAATAACAAGATAATTAATGTATACAATAAAAAAGATTGGTGACCATTGCTCTTTTATTCCATTATGTAATTAGCCCACCACAGCTTGTGGTTAATTCATCACACTACCTGCCATGGTGAATCTAGGATTTTACTATTCACCATAATTACAGCCTGAAAAATCTCCTTTGTATTTTGATGCATTTTGTGCTTACGTACAGCTAACACTTTACATGTACTAGATGTAGTACTTACTGCTTGGAAAACAAAGCAACTCTAACAAAGTAGATTCTCCCCACCCAATTTACACTTCACGTTACAAGCTTTACTATGAAGCCTAGAAGCCTAAAAAGGTTTTAATAATTAGAAATAAACATGTTTGAGGAAAGTCTGAGGGAAAAAAATACCACTTTTTAAATCCAAACAATGTTATGGTCATAGTTTTGCTCCTGTCTGTAGTCTTCACCAGACTTTCTATTGGCTTGAAGCATGGAGCTTGGTACGGGAGAGTAACTATGACCATAACTGTTCAGATTAACAGAGACCAAAAATAATATAAAAAGCTATACCAAGGAATATTTTCCTATTGCGTGGAAAACACTAGTCATATGGCAAAAGGAAAGGAAAGGACAACAAAAGACTTTTCCCTTCCTTTTTTAAGACACTAATAGGTATGCTGGGAATGCTAAGGGTCAACGGTTGTCGCGGCTTTGTTCTCTGAATGTGAACAGCTTTAACAAATGCTGGCATCAGCTGAAATTCTATCAGCTTTCAACATGTTAACTTTTCCCTTTATATGTAGACCTTTACAGTTCCATAACAATAAATAAAATTTGTAGTTACAATGCATTTGTCAATTCAGTTTAGGCACAAGGCAACTTCCACAACGAGTGGAGAGATCACAACAGTCTCTGATTGTGCAGAAGCGACACGCTGCTTGCAACAGAATGATATGTTCAGAGTATTTCATGGGCTGAAATTCTATCTGAAGATCTTTGTATCTTCACTTCTGATGCAGGTGTTGACCAGTAGCTTTGATCATAAGATTGCATTTGGGTTTCTTGCTTCAAGTGTTTTCTCCTGTCAGATTTGTGTCTTCATATAATGTTAGTTGTCTGTGTCCTTGTGAAGAAAGGTCACCTTCTATATATCCTACCATAATTCTGGAATTCTGGCATAAAAGTTTGGGAGAAAAAAAAATTCTATTAGTTCAAGAATTAAGGAAAAACTAACATCAAAACTACTGCAAAGATTGGGGCTATCACTAATGGCAATTTAATTGAATTTAACGTGAATGAAATTATCAAACCGAGGAGCCCTTGAGTCCTATCTTCCTTGTTCACATCCAGCAATACTGTAAACAATATTCTACTAGAATGACATGGCCAGCAAAACTACCCTGGGAAAGCTATCTCTTGGCAGGATGACAATATAGCTCAGTCTCCACACCTATTCTCTGAAGAGACTGACAACTAAAATGCCAGTTAGGTTGGGCATTCTTGTTATGTGGATATTTACTAGGGCTATGCGAAGCTTCAGTCCCCGATTTGATTTGGCGGAGATTCGGCCTGATTCGGTGGCCATATCTCTGAATCCTAATCAAATCAGAGGACCCTTTAATATTTCTGAATCAAATCGGAACCCCCCGAATCAATTTGGAGCGATTCGGAAAGATTCAACGATTTGGACGTAGACACAACTTTAAATGTTTTTTCTACATACCTCTAGGTAGCAGGTGGTTTGTGAATGCCGCAACGCTGGGGCGCATGGAGTGTCTCACAGAAGCGCGGGGGGGCTCCAGAGCACGCTCGACAGCACACCCAGAAGTGGACCAGAAGCACGTGTGGTCCACTTTCGGGTCTGTTGGAGAGAGTGCTGGGGGCCTCCCCTGTGCCCCCCTCGGTTCAGCAACTAATGCCTCGGGGGTCTGGGGGAACACCCGAGGTCTCCCTGCAGCTGACTGCCGAGCTGGAGGGGGACCACCACTGTGCCCCCAGCAAACCCAGAAGTAGACTAGAATTACTTCTGGTCCACTTCCAGGTTCGCCGCCAAGCATGTGGGGGGGTCCCCGTGCTCCTGTGGGATGCTCCATCCATCCCAGCATTGCAGCATTCATGAGCCGTGCTGGTACCTTGAGGTATGTAGAAAACAAAATTTAAAGCTGTGTCCATGTCCAAATCGCTGATTCTCCGAATCAACATCGAATCTTCAGATTTGGATTTGGTGAATCGAATTAGGGACAGTGATCCAAATCAATAAACTGAATCACTGTCCAATTCAGGCTGAATCTGAATCGAATAGGGCCCACTTTGCACACCCCTAATATTTACCAGGAATTGGACTAAGCCATCAAATCTATTTTAATTGCAACACTGAAAAGAGTCATGTTATGTCTGCAGTAAGACTGCTAATCATGACACAGAAACCAGCTTTGCTTTAAAAAAAAAAAGGAAGAGTGCACCATTCTTTCTTGTTCAATGCTTATTAAGCTTGTTTGCTTTAGAAGGATACGACCATTACATGTTATACATCTTTACACACACAATTGTTTCAGACTTTCCAGAATATAGGAACTACAGGCAAGTAGACAAAGTGGCAAGCGGACAATCTGTTAAGAGCTTATTCTTTTGAGAAGGGCACTGACTGAGTTCCTGTGATCAGGAACATTATGATATTTACATATTTTTTGGAAGAGGAAGCCATAAGTCTCTGCAATATTAGAGCTGGTTTAAAAATAATCAATGGGTTGATTTCTACTTACTGAGAATGTATAGCTAACATTTTCCTACCAAAAATTGGACATTCATCATAGAGGCTGTCCTGTAAATCAATGGACTATCATACTGGTAAGAAATGAATGAAAACTAAAGGGACACAAAGGGTGGCCTCTACAGTGAGAGCAATGTGAACTGAGACATTCTTCACTGGGGCCTCCCAACTGTAAGTGGTGCAGTTGTTTCAGTGCAGTGCTGCGCATGGCACAGTATGCTCTAAGCCTCAATGAGCTTACTGCCCCCCCCACAAGTGTTGCTACATTGCTTCTGGCACAGGCACCAGCATGAGCACAGCTAAGGTGGAATGTCTCAACACAGCACCATCCTGCACTGCTTAGATGTAGCCAGAGTAGTGTTTAGTGCTACATATGGCTCCTGGAAGATGTTAATATAATCTCCAAACTTGCATGGCAGGTTTGGGATCAGGCATAAAATTCCTCTGATCCCAACTGCGTGACTATTGGTGTGGGAAGCCGGGCATCACGACCTAACCCTTAAACTTGGTTCCCTGCCCACTGGCAACCTGACCAGTGAGCATGCAGCCCAGCACAGGGGAACCGGTTCCTCCAGACTCGGCTGCAAGTATACTTTCTTAAGGTTCCAAGATACCAGAACACCTTTAGCTGAAGTGAACAGAAACTGTGAAACAAATTCTATGCACAGTATTTCTAAAATGCAATTTCATGTCTTTATAAAATGCAGTGCAAGTGGTAGGTAGAAATAAATACTATGGAGCTGGCCATGAGCATTATGATTTTCATAAAGCAAGGGCACTGAAAATACTGAGTACTTTTGGTTTATCTAGCAGTTTGTTCCAATGGCAACTCCACTTACTGAAAATAATACACATTTGTGTCTGCTGGCTTTCAAACTTCAGTCACCAAAACAAGTTACAGCCAGTAAAACCACTGACGGGGAGGGGGTCTTCTGTACAGACGAGAGACATACCTGGCTGGTGTTCACATATGACCCATAGGGTTGGTAGTTTCACTAAGCCCAGGGTGGCTTCCTGGGTGTGGTGTTGGTGGCTCTGCCGATACGGCAGAAACTTTTTCTTCTTCCCTTCTCTTAAGGCAGGCTGCTTTGGGGTTTAGGTTCCTCTCTGTAACAAGAGAAAAATTACCGTTGATATCCCACATATTGATACTGAGTATGAAGATTTGCTTATTTACAACAGGGCAATGCACTAAAGAGACCTGAGCATTCTCCAGGAGACTGATCTATTAAGGCAAGGTGTTTAGAATTATTTGGGCATTTAAAGATTTAGACAGGTTTCCAGGAGAGTTCTCAGGAATGCTAGTACTTCTGCTAGACTCAACACTTTTGAAAACTTAATATCCACCTATCTGTATCTTTAAGCACCTAAATACCTTAAAAATCTGGCTATGTTACCAAAGAAACGTGCTAAATTACAAACATACAGGGATAAATACATTTGGGCATTTGCCATTTGCTTCTGTGCTAAAGTCAAGACAGTGCTGTTGATATCATATTGCCTGATATACAATCATGTAGCTACTGCCTTCTTCCCAGCCCTGCAGTGGAACAAGAGTGGTAAGAGTTAGCCATAGTGGCTGCTTGCACATGTTTAAGAAAACACCATCCCCCCCCCCCCCCCCCC